AGATGCCCCTCAACTGAAGAATGGATAGAGAAAATGTGGTATACCTACACAATGGAGTACTACTCAGGACAAAAAAAATGGAATCTTAAAATTTGCAAGCAAATTGATGGCACTAAAAGAAACCATCCTGAATGAGGTAATCCAGTCACAAAAAGAGAAACATGGTACATACTTTAGACATAGAGCAGGGATTGCCAGTCTACAATCTCACCACCAGAGATTAGGACCCTAAGAGAGATGCTTCTGGTAACTTGGAGAAGGGTTATGGGAAAGAAAGAGAGGAGAAGAAGAAGAGGGGAAAGGAAGACATGGGAGAGCAGGAAGAGAGGAGAGAAAGATGAGAGAAACCATAATAGAGGGAGCCATTATAATTTGCCGGAGAGATCTGGCAGTAGTGAGATCTTCACAGATCTATAAGGATGACAAACTGGCAGTAAGGCTTCCCTAAATGCCCTTCCCTGATAATGGGATTGATGACTACCTTGTATGCCATCCTAGTACCCTCATTCAGTGGCTGATGGAGGCAGAGGCATATACCCACAGCTAAACACTGAACTGAATCCTGGAACCCAGGTACAAAGAACAGTGATGAGCAAATACAATCAAGACCAGGCTGGTGAAGCCCAAAGTGGCAGCTGACCTAAACAAGGGGGAATTCATGGATTCCAGACTGATGACTGAGAGACCAGCATGGGACTAATCCAGACACCCACCCAACCTGGGTGTCAGAGAAGAGGCCTCTGGCAATCTATGGGACCTTGGAGAGTTCAAGATCAGTATTTATTCTTGGCATGCAAATAGCCTCTGGGAGCCCATTCCACTTGGAGGATGCTCTCTCAGCCTGGACACATGGGGGAGGACCTAGCCCCTGCCCAGAACGATATAACAGACTCTGAAAATCCGTCATGGAAGCCCTTACCCTCCCTAGGGAGCAGAGTAGCAATGAAGTGGGGTGGGGGTTTGAAAAACTGGAGGACTGGGGAGGAGGGAAAGGAGAGGGAATTGAGAGCAACATATGTAAAAAATTAAATTAAAAAAAGAAAGTGAAGGCAAAAAAATGCTCAGCCGTAACATGGCAGAAACCTTTCCTTTGTAGAGTGCATTTTCATGCAAGTAAAGAAGAGCTAGCCTAGGTGTTGACAACGAGGGACATCTGATGGCCTGGCCAACCCAACTACCAACCAAGGTCAAGAAACTGGGCTATGAATTGAATCACTGAAAAATCCACATAATCTATGAACTGTTAGAGCATGTGAAAGAGACAAGCCTACAGATATAAAGCTGCAAGATTTCCATGACACAGGCAACAACAGGATATCCAAAAGTAACCCAAGTGAGAGTCCATTAATGGGGGGTGTATCAGAATCCACAGGTCTCTCCATCCAGACCAATGTTCGATGCAATGAACACTTGCAAGTAAAGATAAATAGGCTAAAGTGTAAATTGTGGGTCTCAACAGACTATGCTACAGTTTCCAAGAAAGTATTCCTCCTCCTTTCTTGTTGTTTTGATTGTTTTTTGGTTTTTCTTTTAAACGTGGTTTTGATTGGAGAGGGTGGTTGTAAGTGCATTGGTGGATGTGAGGGTAGATAAATGGGATCAGAATGCATGATGTAAAATTCACAAAGAATCAAAAGAGAAGGAGGACCAGGAGGAGGATTGGGAGGAGGAGGAGGAGGAGGAGGAGGAAGAAGAAGAAGAAGAAGAAGAAGAAGAAGAAGAAGAAGAAGAAGAAGAAGAAGAAGAAGAAGAAGAAGAAGAAAAAGAAGACTAGGGATGTAGAAAGGAAAAGGATAAAGGGCAGTATACAGAAGAATGAGAAGTACAAGAGATAATACAAAATTTTGAAAATCAAAAAAAAGAGGAAAACAACTACAATGATTCTTTCTCTATAAATATCTCAACTATTCCTTTTTCTTTCCTAAAAAGAAATTACTCTCAAGCTACAATGATTTTAATAAGTGTCCTCTAGCCTTGTGTTCTGCATTACTGCAACCCATCAAACTTTAGGGGACTGTTATCACATTAGTATCTTATGTCTATTTTGGTTTTAAGATTATATATATATATGTGTGTGTGTATATATGATATGTTATATATATGCTGAATTAAGTAGTTATAACTTAGAGACCACAGGTACTATGATATTTGAGGTAACAAGAATGAGTGCTCGCATACCTTTTTGACAAATGCAACTTGAAAATCTAATGATCAGCAAGCTATTTTTCAAGTACTTCATGTTTAGTGCAGGAATACATACATGACTTTACATTTCACTTTGATTTAAGCCAATGCTCATTTTACTTCCAGGCTATTTATTTGATATAGCATTGCATTGGTTACATATTGTTTTTAGTGCCAAATAGAAAAAATTGATGATTCCAGATAAAGAAAACAAGCAACCTGCATAATATCAAGTGCTGAAATTTTGCTTATTCAAAATTGTTAGAGCTATTACAATGTTAATTATAGTAATATGCTTTTTGAATTTCTTACATTTCTTCAATATTTTATCCTTACAATAATCTACGTTATTGAATACTATCAATGCTTTCTTCCCTTTTTATGGAGGTTAAACTCTCATGTTATGAAATGTCAGCTGAGCAGTATTGAGTTGGTTCATCTAGAAAGGGTGCTTGTTGCTAAGCCTAGGAACTGTGTGACTCTTGAAATTTACATAGTAAAATGAGATAACAGTATCTTGTTGTTCACATGTCAGACATCAGCTTTGATTCACACACACACACCACACACTCCACACTAAGATGCAATAAAACGTCACTGGAGCATGAAAATCAATGAAATACGTATTCATATAATTAATCTATGCATACACTAAACTGAAAGCAAATATTTGTAGTGTGAAATAATAAAACCTAAATTAAGATGGTGGAAATTTAGAACACGATCATATATGATGTGGAATTTTTTGAATAAATAGCAGCTTGGAAAATAGTCAAATTTCACATTCACTTTTGAAGAAAAAATATCAATAAAGTTCTTATTTTGTGAGTTTTAGCATATAATGGTACATGATAAAATGATGCAGAATATAATAGTAAGGTCTTGGGGTTCTGATAAGTTATTACAAAAATGTAAATGTCACTATATTAACAAAACTATTAATAGATGTTCCATTATCTTTTCCAACACATCCAGTTGTCTTCTTGTAGTAAACAATGATACTAGAAAACCATGGTATTGGCTTATAGACGACATATCCATTTACCTAGATTAATCAAAATTTATAACTACAAGTATCTTATAAATAGCATTAGCTACAAGGCTCACCTGCAGCTGTTATTTGGATATGAAAACACAAGTTCTTATTATTCTAACTAATTTGACTAATTTGGAGTCAATTTGACTGGGATAAAGAACACTGGGAAAATATTTCTGCTTGTGTATATGAGGATGTTTTGGTAGGAAATAATATTTAATGAACAAAAAGCCCTCCTATATGAAAGTGGGGGCCTCATAAAGCACAAAACTGGAAAGATGAATTCACTGTCTAGAATGAGTTTGGATGGTTATCTGTCTTCCTTTACCCTCTGTCACTGTGGTTCATGGGACCTTTTGACTTGACAGCTTACACGGATGAATACTTTCTCAGTCTTTGTATTTAGAGGTTAGACTTGGGAGTGAGACATTATCTCCTTGGGTTCTCAGGCTTTAAGGCTTGAACTGAATTCCACCACTACCTTTCTTACAAACTATATTTTGGATAATTTGGAAAACTAGCGTACTTGAAATAGCATTTGCAATTTCAAGTATAAATTAGTATATCATGGAAATATTTTATGATATTATGTATTATATAATTACCAGTTTTACAGTGAATTCCAGATTATTACTAAGAAATATAACTCAATAAATTCAATGCATTTAATAATGAACTTTATGGATATAAAATAATAAAGAATAAATTATAGTATATAAAAATATATTTTCTCAGAAATTTACAGTGACAATTCTATCAGAATAAAACAAAAACTTTAACTATGAAGTTACAGATTGATTGTAAAACACCTGACAAGCAAATAGCCAATTAAAAAAGAAGACTTTACTCTGCACAGTTCTTTTAGTTTCAAGAGCACTTGTTTAATGAATATTATTTGATAAAAAATGTCAACTTATGTGAAAGATTCTAAAATCATAAAGGCATTTCAAGGTAAATTTTTCCTATTAGATTCACATTTGAAGTTACAATGATGGAAAACATGTAAAACAGTATCAGAAGGGAACTGATGTATGAGAACATTTGTAGGAGAAAAAGAAAAGTATTTAAACTCTTGAAAACATTTAGCTGTATATATTACTTATTTTTATAATTTTATGTTTCAATACTAAAAAAATCAGAGTAAAAGCCTTACAAACCACCACTTTAGCTTAGCATAATATAAAATTGAATTAGAAACACACTGAAATGTAGATATTATATAAAACAAACTGAAATATATAAAAACTCAATAATAACCACAGCTAAAATATCAGTACATAGGATATGATATAATTTTATGGATTTCACTTGTGAATAAGCCCTTATAGGGAACTTTCAAGATTACAGAAAGGTGGACATGATATATCACCTTGTCAAGTTACAAAACGCTTCTGTGGTAACTAACATTTTTTCATCAACAGGTATAGTGCTAGTATTTATGCAGTCTAAATACAACAGATTTTATGAATGCACAGACCCCTTTTAAATTACCGTATGTAACCTGTATACAGACCTAAACATCATGGAATTACATAATTGCATATAAATTTATTTTAATGAAATTGTTATGAATATACATATTTAGTGACTATGTGTCAAATTATTAATTAAAAAACAGAGTATTTATTACTCATTCAATTAGACTTTAATCTTTTCTGTATGACTTATGTTATATGTAAAAATCACGCAAATCTGTGGTTGCTTTAACTTTCATAGAAAATTCTACAAACACAAGATGAATGGTAACTTGAAAACTTTTTTTAATGATATTTAAACTTACCCCATTTAATGGATATGTTTTCCATCCTAGCTCTCCCATCACAGTAGTTGTATCAAGCAACACAACTAGAATTAAATAGATAAAACACAAATGAGTTTCTCAACTGATGCAAAAATATATCAATATTAGTTTCATCATTATTATCAAACGTTCTTCAACACAATAGCTTTAAGATCACTGTTTCTTAGAAATTACTTGCATTGGCCTCTTATAATTCTTTAAGATAAGAAGCATAAAATGGTCATAAATTAATGCAAAAAATATTGCACATATATTTGGTTTAATAATAATAAGTGACAATGATAATTAAGTAACAAAAACAGGGTCCTTTTTGATACCATAGATTTTTCAATCTAATGAAATACCCCACCCTGTTTATTCTCTAACTTTTTTTTGGTATTAATAAATTTAATTCTTTGTATATATGAAATATCCATTTATATGCACTGTATGAGACAAAGGCGAACATACATATTAAAGGCATACATACATTTTAAAAGTTAATTAGGGAGAAAAAATTTCAATCTCTATGTATTTTATTGAAATATATGTAATGATTGTAAATATATGGCTTTCATTTTTGTTTCTTTTGTGGGGGTTATATAAGTTAGAAACAAGCTTGTTTCACATGTCAATACCAGCTCCCTCCCTCTCTCCTCCTCCTGCACCCTCCCTACCAGGTCCCCCAGTCCCCACTCAGTCTCCACTCCAATCCCCAGGTAGGGTGAAGCCCTCCTTGGTGAATCGCCAGAGTCTGCCATTTCATCCAGGGCAGGGCCTAGGCCCTCCCCCCAAGAGTCCAGGCTGAGAGAGTATCCCTCATTGTGGGATGGACACTCAAAGTCTATTTGTATGCCAGGGATACAAGCATAGTATATTAGAGAAATATAAAACTAGCCTCTGTGCATTGTTGTTTCTATTAAAATCTCATATAAAAATTAGTAAGAAATGAACATTATTTTTTAAATAAATCATAGCCTTCAAAGCATAGATACCTAAGTACTAGTTAGTATACAAATTGCTGATTGATAACACAAATACAAGTCAATTTAAAACAGCGGATCTTTTCCTGTAACCAAAGATAACTCACGATCAGCTAAAAGAAAACAAGTCCCCAACGTATTTTTATCATCTGTGTATAGTAGGGCTACTGATTTTCTTGAGTTGATCTTGTATCCACCCACTTTGCTGAAAGTATTTATTAGCTGTAGCAGTTCCCTGGTAGAGTTTTTTTGGTCTCTTATGTAAACTATCATATCATCTGCAAAAAGTGAAATTTGACCTATTGCTTTCCTATTTGTATCCCCTTGATCTCCTTTTGTTCTTGTATTACTCTAGCTAGAAGGCCAGGAATCCAGCGTGGGACTGATTCAGACCCTCTGAATGTGGGTGTCAGTGAGGAGGCCTAGGCAATCTATGGGGCTTTGGGTAATAGATCAGTATTTATCCCTGGCATACAAATGGACTTTGGGTGCCTATTGCTATTGGCTTGTTTTCCTCTCCATAGGTTGAAGGCAAGTCCTTATTACTTAAGATACCATGTACTTCACACACAGAGCTTAGAGGACCCAAAAAGGAACTGAAATATATGGCACTTCCTTGAGGACTAGCTTGTATAGTACCAAAGGTGCCACACAAACTTCTAAGGGATGGGAGCAACAAACAACCCTACCCAGATATGACACCTGTGAGCACAACAACCAGCACAACACAATAATCATAAGCAGACAGTCTGCATACTTGGGGCTAACCAATCTCTCTCTAGTTTGACTTAAGACTTGCTCAACAAGGTTGAGATCATGTCAGGTACTGAAAAACTTAGCTAATTGTTCAGTGCAACTGTAATCGTGGATGTTGGGGAACTTACAACTGCAATTATTAAACTAGCATAATACCTAACAACCATCTAATCACTTGTCTTTATACCCTCATACATCATCAAACAAATTTCTCTTTACAATACTTGGAGACATTTACAGAAGCAAACTTCTATTTGCAATAGTTACAGACTATCACAGTAAACCTCAACCATTCAAATGCAGAGCTGTGGAGCACAATGGATATATCTACAAAAGAAATCCTGTACCCTAGGCCCAGGGAATCTTGCAGAAAAGGGAACAGGGAAACTGTAAGAGCCAAAGGACCAGAGAATATAATATGAAATTGTGTTATCTAGTAATGTCAGAAAGTACACCTACAAAGGTTCAACATGTTTGACTGAACATGTGCTAAACAGGGGCAACACTAATTAACATGCCAAATTGGAAACAGGAAGGGCCACTAGCCCTCAACCTTACACAAAGAACTACAAGCAACTAAGGGATTCTGAGAGTGGGAAAGAGTCTTCTCCAGGGAAGATCACACCAATTGGTTATCCAATATCGAATGGTCAGACATGAAAACAAGCATATGATTAATATCATATAGATTCAGCAGGTAATATTTAGAAATTTGTGTGTATATATACATACATATACATCATAAACAAAAATATATTCATGGAATAAGTGAAAAATAAGAATGTGACTTTGATGGAGAGCAAAGAAGGATAGAGAGGAGGTTTTGGAAACAGGAAACAGAAATTAGAAATGTAGTGATACTATAACATCAAAAATGCAACTAAGGCAAAGCAAAAGAAAAAAAAGGCAAATGAAGTTCACCTGAGGAGAGTCTTTGTAATGCTTCCACCAGAGCCTAAATATGCTGATTCAAGGTCAGGCTTTAGGCAACTTTGATAGATGTAAACCTCATACAGTAATGAACTTTTCACACATACTCCCTACCGCACAGTGCCCACCTAATTAATTTTTATTGTTAAGTGGTGAATTCAAATATCATTTTCTGTCTGAGAACCCTCACCAACTTAGAGCTATGTGCATGGCCAAGCGTTACTCACTGGCTGGTCAATGGGAGCTTCCTAACCTGAGAAAAACAATGTGACTTATCTTGTGTTATGAAAATGGGTTTGGCCCTGGAAAAGTAACATCCAATTGTCCAATATGGCTGTGAGAATAGGCAGCTGTGAATAGCTATGAAGAAGAACGAGAGATATTCTCAAAGAGGAATTTTTTTCACAATGAAGCAAAAGAGAAAGTAGCCATGAGAAAGTGTATTCCTTATTTTTTCCCCTCAGATACATTTTTTTCCTAAGCCATCACCACATTCATCGGCTGCTTTTTTTTTACATACCCCGGTGATGACTGAAGGCTGATCTACAAGTTAGAGATAATAATTAAAGAGAAAATTCAACCATCATATACTCACTCCTTAAATTTGTTGATTGCTAATTTATTGCTAACTTTGTTTTAGATGTACTTCTTTACCCAATCTCCCACTAAACATACAACAAAAAACACTACCCTCAAGCCTCCCATAACTCTTTTCAATTTATATGTATTGACTTGTTTTATTTTCATAAAATTTATCTTTCTAGAATGCTCATTTATATGAATTGTGACAACCCACATCATATCCAATGTATCAAGGAAACAATCAAGGTAGAGAATATTTCCATTGTTCTCCCAATATTCCTTGTGACCCTGTGTAATGAATTACTTTCCCATTCTGTCTCGAGGCACCCAGTATCTGGTTTCTGTCTCAGCATTTTAACATTTCCAAGATGTAACTGTAGCCATCAAATGATATCTATGCTTTTGAGCCTGTTTTTCTTACTTGGAATCATGGAGTTGGCCTTCATGTTTGATGCTGCACAAGTCAATAAATATGCTTCTTTTCATGGCTAATAACTAAGTTTTCTACCAAACAGCATTCATACCTAATGGACATATGTATGCTTTACAGCTGAGGAAATTATTAAGCCAGTTTAATTTTCATGTAATTTCCCTTTTTCAGGGAAAACAATTAGTATTTCTTGTTGAGTAAAATTGTACATCTCCAATGGCTAGTCAGATTGCTTTCTATTACTCCACATGACAGGTCCTTACATGTCCTGCTAGTCTACATCATCTGACACATGAGTCATTCTCCTTCATCAACCTACAGGACATTTCCAATAATGATGAAAAATTATCCTTTTTACTACCTCAGAATCATTCTCTAGCAGAATAAAATATTGTTTTCTACATGTTAAATTTTCTTAATTTGTATGTATCTACTAATGGATTGAAATACTCCATATATTTTTTTCACTTAGTTTATGTTTTAAATTTGACAGATTGTTTCTAAAAGTTGTCTAGTCTGAATTTGGACTCACTCTATAGGACAGAAAGAACTTGAACTTGTCTCCCTTCTGCTGCAGCATCTCAAGCATCTGCCATAAGAGTCTGAGTCACCAGACTTAGCTTCATTTATTTATTTGTTTATTTGATTGTTCATTCATTCATTATTTTTTGCCAGACATATTGCTGGTTTCTCATAGAACTAATATCAGAGCATGGAGAAGATATCATAGTCTACTAGGGCAATAATAACAACAAAGAAAAACATGATCAATTTGCATAGGTTCCTACTGGCAAAGTAACTAATTTCACCATATATAAGGGTAAATTGAAATACTCTAGGTACATTTAAATTTATGCCTTTATAATAACATATCTAGTGAATATTTTGCAGAACAATAGATAAGCACTATGTTTAAAACTGTTGCATACACTGAATACAATAAAATATGCATTTTGCATTTTCAGTACTTACTATTTCTGCTAAATAAAATAGCTTCTGTAAGGAAATTTCTCTTGTTGAAATATTCTAGTTAATAAATTGAGAAGGAATGACCAGATTAGGGTGTACTATTTGCTACTGCTAATGAATTAATATATTTAGCTAATGGTTTCCCAGGGCTGCTAACATCAGAAAAAGATATAAAATGGGACATAAAAGGCTAGAGCTTCTAAAGCACTTTATAGTTTAATTTACTCCATCTCAGCTTACGGTTCTAACAAGCATGGGAGCAAGACAACCAAAAATTAGTATGAACAATAAAACACACACACACACACACACTGGCTTGCGTCATTCAATTCAAGATACCTCACAATTGAAAGAAAAAAAATGTAGCAGTATGATAATTAAAATTCTAATTTAATCCTGTTATTAAATAATTTAT